CTATATTTGGGAAAGCATCCCAGCCCTCAACTTGCTGTTTAGTCTCTCTGAGCATTTATGAATAAATAAATAAGGAAATTCACAAAACGCCACTACAAACCAGCAGTGATAAGAAGTTAAAGAATCTAATTAGATTATTAAGTTTATAAGCTTAATTATAAAATACTCCTACCAATTAAAGCCTGTGAAGAAATCTTCATTTATATAACAAGTGATTACAAAATCCTAGTAGAAAATCGTGGCAGTTTAGCTTGACCTTTGGTCATGTGGTCCATATGTAAACCCTCATGGGCAATTAGGTGATTTTCCATTTTCTCTGCTATATGTTTATTTTTAATAAAAGGCCTGTTTTGTTTTGTTTTGTTTTGTTTTTCATTTTTCTTTTTAAGCAGGCTGCAGCTGTGGTAGAGACTTTTCTTTTTTCTATGTATACTGTAATCTAGCATAAAAATATTGAGACGCAGATCAAGTTAGGCTTGTCAGCCCTAATATTTTCTGGTGATTTGAACAGGGCCAGGGAATACGATAAGCATCTTTACAAATCCAGTTGGCTTTACTTCAAATCCAAGAGCTTGTATCTAAGCTTCACAAGAACAGGAGCCCACATAAAATCAAATTTTGAATGCAAAGCTAACCCAGTTCTGCTCATCAGCCTTCATTCTGAAGCCTGTCTGCAGCAACATTTTTGTGAGCTCGCTGCATAGGATGTAATTGCTCTTGGAAGAAGTACTTTTTGCATCAGAGCTATAGCTACCCTTGGGACCAACTATCGTTTTTAATCTTAAAAACTTTTTTTAAAAAGTTTATGCTAATGATGTATTTTCTTTGGCACTGATGAGTTAAAAATTGCTTCAGCTTTTCTTGCTTTTTTTTTTTTTAATCAAGCTGCTAAGTATTCCCCATTTACCAGTGTAAATCAGCTTAATTTGCTTAGGAGCTAAAACCTGGACTGAACAATGGTATTTTCAAAACAAATACATCAAGTTAAAGAGAGGGCAGTCATGGTTCATCTGAATCATATGGCTCCAGATTTCAAATCTAAGCTAAGGAAATAGAGGTTATGATACCCTGCAGCTGGGACAAGCAGTATTCGTACAGCAGTGTTAAATCAAGACCACTCGGCCAGTTCAAGCAGTTGCTTGTGTGGAAGTGAAAGATCCCATGAGAGCATTAAAAAAAGAAAGGTTCTGGTGTCCTAGCCAAACCCCCCTTCCTTTGCTTAATGCTACCATGGGCTAAGTTTCTTCAGAGCAACTGATTGCAGAAAGTTGCTGCCAAGTAATTGCTACTGATTTATTTACATCCGATCACACAGAACAGGAATTAAGCACTGTGCAAAACACACAGGCGAGTTAATTACAAAAGGTCCTCTCATGCCACACAAACGCCCAGTGACTGAGGCTGCCGGCTCGGTGGGTTAATTTGCAGACACATCAGTTCGGTAATTTGTTCACCATCAGGCTAGAGAAACGCGTATCGACACAACGGCACAGTGGCAGGGAGAAGTAGCTGGGAGCTTCGGAAAGCCACAAGCGCCTGTGCTGGTAGCAGTGGCATACACAGATAAAAGCTGTCATTCAGCCTGGGAACCTCAGGACAGAAAAAAAAAAGAACAAGTCTGGAAAAGTTATTTTCCGGTCTCCCATTCAATAGCATGTTGAGATTGATACAATAAGTGCTGATAAAATACCTGAGAGTTGACATTTTCATATATAGCAGATCAAAAAAAGGGTTGTTTTCTAAATTTTGGGAGCAATACTAGTGGCTGAAGTAAAAGCACCGTTCCCTGCTTCCCAGAATACCAGATTAACTGTAACTTTAGCTATTTTATTATTTTTTTTAAGAGAAGGGAGGAAGTATGAGACAGTAGTACAGCCTGGAGACTTTGACAGCACTATCTGGATGCCAATGTCATGCTGTGTAAACATGTGGATCCATTAGACAATTGTTGGAAGCAGTGAATTCTAAATTTGATCTAGTGATAGGACTCATGCTGTTCGGAAAAAAAAAAAAGGGGGTTGCGAAACCACACAAGGAAAACGTTTCAGACTTGTTAAAAAGAAGTACAATGTGAACAATGATGTATTGGATGGCCTGCAGATTTCAGCCTCTGGAGAGTCTTGACAGACAGAGCAAAGACCTGAACTAAACTGTTAAATCAGTTTATAAAATATACTCCAACCTGAAAGGAGGGAAACATTTTCATAGAAAAAAATATTCACATAGGCAGAATAAGAAAGATTTTTTTCCTTGGGATAAGACAAACCGTAACAATGATTTATATATTCTTCCACATTTGTAGTGCATGCTACTGCCTTAGCTAATGAATCAATTTTAGTGAAGCCTAAACCGTACGGCATCCCCAGCTCTGCTGGTCTGGCGAGGGGAGCGGTGGTTAACTGCCTTCCTTCACTTCGTGCTGGCAACACAAGGCTTTTTGCATTATAGTACTTAATGGGCTAAAATACACGTTGAAATTAACTCCTTCATTAGCTATACAGCTGCTGCTCCTTATCTTTCATTACTGTTAATTACAGCACTGCAAAATTTTATGTTGTGACTCAGAATTAAATAGGATTAATACGATCTACGATTTTTCTTGGAATACACAACTCGGGCCTCATGAATAAAATTATACGCTGCATGACATATGACACTTGAAAAGGCATTACAATATTTAAGCTATCTAGAAATGCTTCTGTGCATTCAGACATGCTGCAAGCTCTCTGCAAACTGACTAGCCAGCTGTTTATTCCCTTGGAGCTGCTTACATCAAAAGACACATAAAGCAGTGGGTTCACCTCTCAGCAGAACTGCAGACCCGCTCTAAGTCTGTCGCTACAAAACTTGTTATTCATCCCTGCTGGCTTATAGATGTGAAGAGCAGTATGCAGAGCTCAGCGTTTCAGTTATGATTCACGTTGTGATTTAATCATTCCTAAAACTTAGTTTACTACTTAAAAGAAATTGTACTTCAGCAACAGGGCTCAGAACGCAAGAAAAACAGATCAGTCTAGGAAAAGCTACTGAGTCACCATGGAGGGAGGCAACGAAACCCACGTTATCCTCGTGAATCCAATGAGGTCAGCAGAAGCAAAGCTTCTTGGTGACTGGTATGGACAAACCTTTCTCCAATCCACCCTACGAACCCGTGTGAGCACAGGACAGTGGTCCTCTGAATGCCGATCTCAGCGCTGCAGCACGCCATGGATATAAATAAGTTTGTTTGTGCAGCTTAGCCGGCTGAATTCAATGACAATTCACGTGTCTAATTCCATCACGTCCATAAATACCTGGACATGAGGCCGCAGCGAAGGCACTGAGGGGCTGTGTTAGTCAGGAGGCGGGCTGGAGGTCGCTGAGGGACACTGAGGAGCTCCAGAGCGTGCGGCAGCTGTGCCACGCTCCAGCAGTGAGGCCTATCGGCCGGGACTGCTCACATCCTCCTAACGAACTTGCTCACGAACAGGGAAAAAGAGCTTCCCACACGTGTTTTGTGCTGTAAAGCTCGGGGCAGCTGTCTTAACAGCACCTGCAACACAGCTTCAATCTGTATGAATTTATAAACAGCAAATCTGTTGTTTCTTCACATGAATTAGAGGACATTTGTTTCTGTGGTGGGATGGGAGGCCAGCCGGAGCTGCAGACCAAGCAGCCAGGCACGCCAGCAGGTCTTAGGGCTGCTGGAGCCAGGGAGGTGATCTCCAGCTGCGTGACACGGCACACACACAGGCCACGGCACACACACGGAAATCGCTCTCTCAAGTTCAAGGCTGTGTAATAATAGCAATTAGTGCTTCTATTTACTATTCTTCACCAGATTGTGAAACTAAAATTGCAACCAAATATTGATTGCACCACGTACTTTTCTTGGTCCCTCCAATGCTTGCCACGAGACGTGAGGAACAGGACAGAGGCCGGGCTGGGCCAGGCCGCTGGCAGCTCCCATCACAGAGACCAGTGGCACCAGTGGGAAATGCAGGCCGGTGGGAGATGAGATCTTTCACAGACGTTTACTGACCTTTCAGTAAAACTTCAATATAAAAAGAACAAACTGGCAGAGGCTGCTATCTTAAACCATTTTTTCACAAGTGAAGTACTCCGTTTCCCTCAAAACTCAGTCATAATTGAGTAACCTCAGAGTTAATCTTTCTTTTTAGGGGAAAACACACCTTTTTTACTATAGCGACAATCTGTTCTTAAAGTTATCTTGCTCTCCAAGTATTATTGTTCAATCACTTATCCAAGCAAAAAGACTTAAAACCTTAATTTAAACTGCAAGAAATATGGAAATTAGTGCTTTACATCATTCCTCTCCTTTAGATAACTTAGATCTGAAATACCGGTTACAAATTCTTAGTGGTCACACATACTACACCTTTGTTGTTATAATTTACTAAAATATTCATCTTTTCCATATTTTCTCCCACAGTGTGCAAAGGAGCAGATATATCCTCAGTAACCAAAGTGAATTAGCATAACACAGTATGCCAAAACCACTGTGTTTTACAATAACAAATCACACTGACATTTGTCATAGTATCTCACTACATGCCAAATATTTCATATTGGGATTGTTCCATTTCAGTTTTAACCCAGTACACGTGACATTTTCAATGAGGAGAAGAAAGCTGTGAGTTTCTATTTTTAGATCAATCCACAGCTTTTATTCAAGAACCTCAATTCACCTCAAAATGTAAATAAAGCCATCAACACCAACACCACTATGATACAGTAACTCTATCAACCTTTCAGCTACAGTCATTGAGTCAGTAATCAATCATGAAGCAATTCAATACCAAACACTGTAAACAATTCCATTCTGGATTTTCTAATCACTGCATGAAAATATCGCATGTTGTAAATGCTATAAAAAGCATGGTGCAGTGAAATATAACACATGAAATGTATTTAACAGAATTTATGAAATTTGCTTTTCATTTCTTTCAAACATCTATGAGCAATTGGTTTACCTTTTCTTTCTTCTTTTTTTCTTCCAGTGGTTCAATCTTCGACTGACATTCTTCTGTGCTGCACATCACGTAAGTACAGGTATAGCAATACAGTGTGGCTGTTATTGCCATATGTTTACTTTATTACTGTACAACAGTGAAAATACTTACCAACATTGGGATTTCTAGACCTGGTATTTATTTCTGTGAAAATGTACTAGAAAACTTACTAAGTGCTCATGGAAGAGTTAGCGAAGGCAGTCTGTATTGACTCCCAGATCAACCTCCTCCCCAAAGCTCACAAACTGGCAATTTACACAGGCTCAGATGAAGGCGCCTCCAGCTTACAACATCTTTATAGCCTTGCGAAATTTGGACTTCATGGATGTATGCCGTGATCCTAAGGCACTTGAGGACTCCTTGCCAGGCAGGAGAACCTCTGTGTGCCACAGGAACTGCAGAAACAGACTGGAGGAACATAACCACTTGGAGGATTTAATTGACATCATCTCTGCAAACTGCTTGCCGACCCCTGCGAGGAAGGAATCAGGGCTGTAATGCTCTCCTCACCACCTCTACCAGCAGGCCATCATGTCAGCTAGAACTGCCTGAAACCCCACAGACAGTGCTGGAGATTTTCATGCACTGACAAAGGCAGGTCAGTGGGGAGAAAGGCAAAGCTAACACCTAGTCAATCAGCTTGGGCTAACTCTGCAGGAGAAACATACCTTTAGGAAAGGCAAAAAGATTAAAACAAAAGAGACACCAAATTCAGCCTTCTCTAAGGGACCAACACCATTCCTCTGAGGGCACAGGGGTGTGCTCGCACACAGCCTGAAGAACGTGCTCGAGCACAGGCTGGCGACCTGCTCGCAGCAGCGTGTCCTAGGTGTGCTGTCCGCCCTGCTCTAGTTAACGAGCAAAGGACAAGAGCCAGGAATTATTTAATGCTAACACCAGCTCTGCCAGTGCTGACTGCTGCTCTTGCTCTTGGCAAATCGCTTAATCTTTTTCATTTTCTCCTCTGTACAATAAGCATAACATTTTTGTGCCTAATACCCGTCTCCCCAGTGTTTCATTCCCAGTTTGACATTCTAGTCATAAACGCACTGCCTGCCTTCCTTTTACTTTGATAAAGTATAGTCAGTATCAGTTGGGAACACTTCTTTAAAACTTATTTCCAACTATTGTGAAACAGGAGCTGAATGTTTATGGAGTAGTTATTTTTTATGTCAGTTTACCATAGGGCCTCTTTAGCCACAAGCTTACAGCCGGAGGCCCCAAGGCATTTTTGGGAATGGAAACTTTTGGAGTTCAGCTCTTAACAAATTTCCAGGCTGCAGTATGTTTTTCATTAGTCTACATGGTGTTATAATAAATGATGCACTTCCTCTTTCATTTTATGATTTTTTTTAAACATGCAACAATTTTTCTGTGTCTGTTTTCTATTACTTCCAATATACTCAACCACACTAATCTTAGAGTCTACTTCATGTGTAAGGACAGAAAGGATGTACTAAGGTATCAGCCACAGCAAGACAAGCGTCTAGTCTAAATTCTTCACTGAAGAACAATCACTGAATGTATGCATCCCATCTTTTTAGGGGCCATTATTGTTGCTGTTATTATAATGTCTGAGTTGACCCAGAAAATGCTCCTCTCAGTTATATACCCACAAGACAGAGCTAAAAAACTTTGAGCTTATTGGCCTGATTTGTTTTTCTGCTACCTACTATAATCACAGACATACTGCTATGACAAGACTGTGGTGCAACAGTTTTTTAAATAATCATAGAAACACATGAAAACCTCCCAAAGCCTGCGCGTAACAGATTTACACAAAGATCTTTTTGCATAAAGACCAAAATGATATTTCTTTGTATAGATTTGTGCATCCCTCCTCCCAAAAGCTTTTGATAAACTGAGAGCAGTTGAACAGAGGGCCACGAGGACAGCTGTGGGCAGAACACTTGCAGCCCTGTGGTCAGAGGCTGAGGGAACTGGGCTCGTTCCACCTGCAGAAGGGAAAGTTTTGGGTGGACCTAAACCACAACCACTGCGCACCTGCAGGAGGCTTACTGTGCAGACAGATTTGGGGTCTTTACTGTGATGAATGGTGGGATGAAAAAAGACAATGGGCATAAGTTGAAAAAAAAGAGATTCCAATATACGAGGGAATTTATTGTACATTTTAACCATTATGACAATCAAGCATCGGAAGAGACTGCCCAGACATAGCATAGCCTTTGTCCTCAGAGGTTCTGAGGATCTAGTTTGATCTCCTATCTATCCTGCATTGTGCAGGATTTTGGATAGATGACTTTCTGAGGTCCCTTCCAACTTGAATTAATCTATGAGCAATTCAGTCCAGTCAAAAACTAGTTAATATTTTAAATACCAGAAACAGAATGCATCCTGGATTTATTCAGACCACCTTTTTTTTTTTTTCCTGCTACTTATTATACTCATAGACATACTACTTTGACAGTACTGTGGTGCAACAAATTTAGACAAAGATAGATAAATGCTGTGGATAGCATTTAACCTCTGACTCTATTTTTTGATTGAAATCATCCAGTGATGACTGCAGCTTTTTGAAGCAAAGCTGAGACAACAAAAAAGAGGGCAAATAAAGTTGTACTTTATGAGTTTTGGACGTGCAATGGCAACAGCCATCAGTAAACTTCATAGTGAAATACCTGTGTGTCAGTTTTAACCCTTTTTTTTTTTATAAATCTCAGCACCTTTCCCTGAGTGCAGTTCCTATAGATGCTAGTCAATATTGCCAAGGTAGCAATATAAATAAACCATAGTATGAGGGAAAGAGAGAAATTCTAAAAGAAAGAAAAAAAAAAAAAAAAGAAAAGAAAAGAAAAAAAGCCAAACAGCTAGCATTTCAGTATTTAACCCCCCATCCTAACAGCACGACTACCCACATTTAAATGAAGCCAAAGCTCCTTGCGCAGTCTTGTTCCTCTCACCCCAAACTAGTTTGGTGAGCTCTGCAGGTGGTCAAAGGAAAATCAAAAGCAAATGTCTTGAGCATTTCAGAGATGATGTTTGAGAACACAATGTTATCAAGAAACGTTCACCTCCCTTCTGGGTGGATCCGCACACATCTTCGTTAGTAATTTACCTCCGCACATCCGTAACACGGACAAGGCGAGCGTGCCAGCAGGGTTAGATGCGAAGCCGTGCAAGCTGGGCTTCCTCCGCACGCCCCCACTCCGCAGCCACCCCAGGGCCCTTTCCAGCACCTGCATCTTCTTCGCAATTTATTGCTCTGCATTTATCAGCACAGAGCTTTACACCTCCAGCTTGCCCCCAACCCCTCCCTGCTGCCGGCCGAGATCTGCCCCCCCATTTTGGCATTGTTACAGCGCTCGTGCTCTCTCCCTACCAGTTTCCTTCCTCTCACAAATTAAGGGCTTTGTTCATCTTTCCCTTATGAAGTTTCTGTCTCCCTTCCTGACGTAGGAGACGGTGTTCGTTTTGCAAAGAAAAATCATGAATAGGAGACTCGTGCCAGGCAGCGAGGCTATGGGTCCCAAACGTTAAATTCCATCCTGAGGACTGCAGCAGTGTGGTCAGACATAGGATTATGCTGGAAATCACCATGGGTGTCACCAGTAGGTAGGGATAACAAACTATGGATCTGCAAAAACCAAACTGCCTCTGCTTCTTTTTCCTTGTCCCATTCCAAATCAGCATTCACTATCACTTACTGACATTTACTATCACCAGCTGACAAAAGAGGGAAAATACAGGACTGTCTGTACAGTCCTGTATTCTATTTCAAGAATATCAAGGGACTTTTGTAGGTGGAAAGCTGAGAGAAAGACAATATGAACATTAAAGAATATCAACTAAACTAAGATCAGTCTTTAAGACATATTACCTCAGCAAAATTCACCCTGTTAGGAAAAATACGGAAAACAGATCCCTTTCTGTAGGGCACACAAACAGTATTCCTCTGCAGAGCCTTCCAACACAGTCAGCAGCAAGGAAAAGATCAGAGTCCTGTTAGAGGAAATGGCACCTCCCACGACTTCCACAAAAAGGAGCTGGAGCTTTCCCCTGCCTTTTTAGCAGGGAAAGTGAAGGCCAAGCACTGCCACTGCCAACAGGGAGAGATGACTGAGTTAAGCAGAGCCTGTTAAGGACCCTACCCACTGAAGAACAAGGATTACCATTAAACAGCATTCAGTTACCTGACCTACTCCACCAGAGACTTGAAATTTAGAAAACTGATGAGAAGAAATACATGATGGTTTTACAGTCATTTTTCAAAACAGTAACTCATCAGACAGTGCAATTGTTTAATGGCAGAACACTGCTCACAAAAGGCAGGAGCAATTCCCCATTACATGAACAACTCTATATATTTGCATATTTAAAAATGTTCTATATATGCACTTATTTATTTTTTAAGATAACTTTCTTTTTTTGTTTGCTTCTATACATAATTTTAATGAGAATGTATTCCCAGGGGCTGGCAGCATCAGAAAAAATAGGCTATGCCAACAAGAAGGGATTCCAGTCCAATATCATCATGTCTAGCATACCGTGTTTCATTTACAAATCTTTGATTTCTAAATGAATGGCAGTTCAAAGTACACATTAAACACAGCTACTTTCTGCCTATGTATGTAGAGATCGCTAGAGATTAAGTCACTTTAATTAAAAACTTAAGCAGGTGTCACTTCATGATACTCTTTGAATTTGGTTTAAGCAGATGTATGTTCTATCATTACCTAGCAGTGCACTTTAAATACAAGCATAATCAAAGAGATCTCCCTAAACAAAACAAAGGAAAACCACTTTGTCTGACGGTTTGAAGTTTGGTACTCCTCACCTGTCAGATACAGAACATATATTTAGTTGGAAACGACATTCTAAAACACTTCAACGATAAAGAAAAGCACTGTGACCAGCTCTGTGAGAGAGAACCCCAGGCCCCATGGGACCTACTAACTTCAGTGGGGTTTTGTTCTGCCTTTTTGTAAATATCTAACTATCAAAAGTGAATTTGTACTATAAAGGCCTGAAACAAATCATTTAAAAGCATTCAGTATTCAAATAATCACAGC